GCAGGGATCTTTGCATGCCTGTTGACAAACATTCCAGATGTTGTGGCAGTTCTTTAACCTTATAAACTCATATTAATCTGTAATTCTTTTGGGAGAGAATCAGCAGCCAAGGAGAGGGGTATACTATAGACATTTTATTTCCTTTTGAAGCAGCTGATAGCGCATGTCCCACAGTCTTTAAGACCTGAAGGGATAATTAGATCAGATTTGCATTTAGCCTTGATCCAGCAACCATTATGTAGGAAATGCATAGCTTTGCAATAGCTCTATTAAGACATTTTATTAATGCATTTGTTCATTATTACTAACTCACTTATAGAGTTCTTCCATGGTAGAATTTAAGTTTCTTGATGTTATATTTGGCTTAAATGGTCATAATGATAGGCTATGTCTGCCTCAGGGCTCATTACCACATAGGTGTGGGGAACACTATTAAACATACAATGAAAGAAACTCCTGAGTATTGCATTCTTCCAGATGCATGAGAGGTATTACACCTTTGTTCCTATTACAGTCTTCATAGTTTCCTGTTGATTCTCCTGTAAGATTTTGTTTAATGAAAAAAAAACAGTTTTAGGAGGCAATTTCCCATCAGTGATGCAGGAAGCACATTTTTCTTCAGAATGTGCATGGTACTCAACACAGAAGGGTCCTGCTCTACAAATATGGCTTTTCTGGCATGACTGCAACAGAAATTGCTATTAGGTGTTGTTTATATTTAACAATTTATGCATAAGATGTCACAAATATGAATCACAGTAAGGAAGAATTGGGAGAAAATAACTGCAGAGTGCATTGGGGAAAGCTTCAGTCAGACAGTGCCATTTCTGGGCTGAACCTCCAAAAACGTAAAAGCTTTCCAGAAGCCCCAGTAACAGGCACCAGTTATCATGGAACAGCCCGGTGGGACTGAAAAATGATGAAGGTTCAGCATGAGTCAAGCTCTGAATAGGTTGTGACAAGGGCAGTGCGGGACTGCTCTACTACCCTCTATTAGCTTCAATCAAGGAAGCATATCCCAGGGACCTTTTGCATCTCTCCCCACGTCTGCACCTTGAAAGGGAATTGGCATTGACTTTAATGAAGACACATTGCTTTGAAATGTCTATTCAAGTTAATTGTCTTGCACTATTGTCTGTTGTTTCAAAACAAGCCAAACCAGTCTGCAATCTAAACGCTCCTGTAAAAAACCTTACCTTCCACTAATATGTACTTAAATGAAGAGATGGTTTACTACCTCTCTGCAAATGTAGAACAATCAGCAATGAGGCAAGGCTGATATAAATTCAGATGGCTTACAGGCAACGATTCAAATTCAAGTGGAATCTGTGATATTTCATATCCTTAGCCTAAACACTGGATATTTTGTATAAATACAAGACTAGTTATCAAGATCACAGATATGAAGATGGAAAAATCTGGGGTTTAATAGAGGCAGCTCAGAAGGGCCAATTGCAGAGAAAATCCTTACTGTGTTTACATTTTATTTGAAAATACTCAAATTATCAGGATGCTGCAACTGTGAACAGTTTGCCTTAACAGCAGATACCAGGATCAGCTCACAACTATTTCCCTAACCCAGTCCCAACCAGCATTAATAATAGTAATTCCAGTGACTGCAGAATATATTAAATAACTAGATGTTGGTGCCTGACTCTTCAGCAAATCTAGAAACAAGATAACTAGCAGTTCCAGTACCTAACCTACATGCACGCATAGTTCTTCTGAACTCAGTGTAAATATTTACCTTAATAGAACATGTAGCACTTTGAATCAATCACAGAAAAAGAGGTAAACTTAAACATAGACTACAATATTGCTTTCTGAAAAATATTTAAAGACACATTTTTCATACTAATTAGGTATAATTTCAATGGATACTTCAAAGCATATGGTCAAAATTGATTGGTTCATTATCTCTATATTTCCTATTTTATTCAAAGTACAACAGTATCACATTGAGGTTTTCTCCTGACTGCATAGTGCATGACATTCTGCTTTTCCAATAGCAGGATGAAGTAGCAGCACAAATTGGTTTGAAATATGATAAAGTAGCATCATTAGTTGTGTATGAAATCTACAAATCACTGCACTATGACCTTAATTGTAATAGGCTTTTTCTTGAAACCAGCAGCTAAACCTCACCACTGATAGAAAACCATTAAATTACTTCTAGTCAGTTCCTAACTGCTCAGTGAGCAATGTGTTAGCTAGTAACACAGTCACTTATTTCTCCTCATACTGTGGGGAACAAGATATGTATAGATACATCTAGCGAATCATCTGTGGTTAAATTCATTTGACCTAGAGGATGGTCCCTTTGTTCCCCAGAAGTTAAAAAGTAGATTTCAAAAGGAAATCACAAACATGTTTTCCTGTATAAGCCTCCATTCAGCACTCACAAGTCCACTCCAGGTACCAATGTCTTCTTTAGTTCCCAACAGTGTCATTACTGCAGTCTCGTTTGGACAAATCATTGTATTAAATTTGCTTGTATAAACACAGACTCAGTATGTATACTAGCCTTCCATATATTGCATATTTTTTCCTATTCTACCTAATATTTCTAATTCACATTTTGAAGGTATTTTATATTTAGACAGCAAGCTCTTTTTTATATAATGGGGAATATTAGCATTTTGCTACAAATATTCTCATTTGATTATGATAATTTTACTATCTTCAGTGTCTAACCCTTACATCAAATAAGGAGATCCCATACAAATCAGATCTGTCGTTATGTATGACTGATGTAATTAAAACTCTCAAGAGAACATGTAAAATAAAAAATCTTCAAGCTTTTCCTGCCTAAATTATTGTTAGCCAAAGACAGTACTCATAATTTCATTAATAGAAATGGAAAAGTGACAGGACATTTAAACTCTGGGCACCTGTTTTCACAGACCCTGCTTTTTCAGCAATGTTTAGATTCATTAAAAAAAAAAAAAAAAAAAAGACAACAGTAAGAGTAAAATGAGATGTAAAAATTTTCAAGAGAAAACCTGATTTATTTTCCTCCTGTGCTCAGATTAAATAGCCACAAGGCCAGGATCTCTTTTCTTATTTTAACTTTCCATGGACCAGTCACATGGCCATACAAGATGCAGTGTTCACCCAAAAGAGCTCAGTATAGTAATTTTCAGTAGATCCCTCCACCATTCTGCCCAGACACATACATGCCCCCTCCCCTTTATCTTTCCATTTCTGAATAGGCAGTCTAACAGTATGAGATGTTCTGCACTGGCACAGAAGACAGTTACATCAAATCAGTATTCAGCAATTCAAAATATTCAACCAGTTGCAGTGTCTCTCCCAGGCAATTCAGCAAGGTTATACTCTGTTAATAAATTATCTCCGGAAATAATGACATTTGTATTATAAAATCGAGAAAGAGAGGGCACTTTACAGATAAGTGCCATTTATTTAAAATGCTTCCATGTTAGAAATCATTTTATGGGTGCCCTTTAGACACAGGCACATCTCCACATTTCAGCAATTATTCATCATTTACATGTTCATAATTTGGGAGAGTTTTGAACTCAGAACGAATAAGAAGCCTACACACTGCCTCAAAGGGCCGAACAAGACTTGATAATACTTCATAGCTAAGAGACTCCAAATGAATTAAATAATGAGTAGGGAAGTATGAACCTTTCCTAGTCTGTCTGTGAACACAGTGAAAAGTAGCAGTAGTCTCCAAAATCTAGGATATAAAACAGAAATCAGACTCACCAGTCACAAAATCTCCTGTTACCATAGTGATGGGGACTGAGCAAATGACTAAAAATACCTGGTCTTATTCACACTGTCTTAGGAATGTGACCTAAATGACATGTAATACATGATTTTCCATGAGAAATTAATTGCATTTACTAGGAGCCACTACTGAGAAGTGGATAATGTGCAAGTATGATGTGTGGTCAGATACTCAAAGAGACCACCTTCTCAAAGATGCAGCTTGAACTGAGAGCTGGCTGTAAGAAAGCATACAAGAAATTGCAATAAAAAGAAACCATATGTAGGTCATTAACAAATCAAATGCACCAATTAAACATGGGTTTCTCTCACTAAATAGAGTTGTACTTTAAAAGCATTCTTTGGAATAAAATTAACTGCAACCTCCTAAGAAGATCACTGTCCACAAGAATCTCCCAGTTGTGATGGCTGTCAAACTTAGGAAGGCAATGAGGTAATGTAAATTCATGTTTAGATGAGCTTTGGTTCACAGCACCTACATATGTCAGTACAAACCAAAAGTGTGCTACTAAAGTGTGCTAGAGGAGAAATTGCAAGTGGCATCTCTCACCTCAACTTGTGAGGTGCCTGAAGAGGCTGTCTCCGTAAGTCTCACCAAGGAGCTGCTGCTGCTGCTGCTCTACATTAAGAGCAGAGCACTGCAGGCACCTCCACTGACTGTCCTGGGAGAAAGAAAAGCCAGAAGGAAGATGAGACTCTAGATTTATTTGAAGGGCTTAATTGGTTACAATTTTATTTCTATTTCTAAAGGGTAATGATCTCCCTCCTATTTACAGTACAATATATCTTGATTCTTGCCTTGTGAGATATTATTTGCAAACATTCATAGATTAATGTTTGTAAAAATTTGTTGGGCTGAGCTGTTTAAGGGTACTGGAAGGCAATCATCACTGACTTTACAGAGAGGGCAGATGTTTTGCCTGGAGACATCTACAAGTGCAGACCTGCTACAAAACTGCTCTACACCCTCTTAAGTATATCTCAAGATAGTACGGGATTATATTCCAGCATTGTTAGACACAGTGAAATTCTAGAAAATGTACTTTATTTCAAGTGTAATGATAAAATGCTCCATTTTTAAAAAGTTCATCAACATCAGGTAGGGTTTGTCCTGACTACACTTTTAAGTAGTAGCTTCTTTATTCACACAAGGAAAAAAAACAAACAAGCAAAAAGCCCAAAGCCTACAGCATCTACAGTTGAAATTCTTCACCATTGCAAAACCTTTTTAAGAAACCACCTACCTGGTCAGAGTAGCTGGAAGACACGGTGTATTCCACTAGCAGGTATTGAATATCCATAGCCTCTCAAAAATTCAGGCAGATAATTTCTGTCCATTTTTGTAAAATTCTCTCTTGGAAAACATTGTTTTATAAACTGAATAAGAGAAGTTTCCATCAGATAAATATTTACAATAAGTTATCAGGCACTGATTTTTTTTTTTTTTTTTTAGAAATATTTTCTTCAGAATCTCTTCTTTTTCAGAAATATTTTCTTCATAATCAAGGTAATATTTAATATGCTTGATAAACTTTGTATGAAAATTTAGGCCTATGAAGAGGTCATGTGATGGGGTAGTTGGCTGATGACTTTTGCACTAAAGTGAAACTCATACATTATCCTTACCAAATGCAAAGGGGAACAGTTAGGCTGAAAAACATCTCTTGCCTGTATCAGAATTTCTCAGTATGGAAAGGTGATGGACTCTGCAGAACTAGACTGGTAGAAAGAGATCGAGGTAAGGAGATAATTATAGTGGTTAACACTCTTTTGTACTTGACAGATATGTTCAACGTACCTAAAGCAATATATTAAACTGTTCCTCCTAGGGTAAAAGGCAAGGGGAAAACTCACAGTATAAAACATTGCTCCCAGTATTATTATAATGGAAATGCCCACAGATGCCTTGCTGCAGCTACTTAAAAAAAAAAGAACAAGGAGGATTTATACTGGTAGGCTAACAGTCAGTTATTTTCTTCATAAATTTAATTTATTAAATAATGTAGCCTCAGTCAAAGAAACTAAGTCAGAGATAGCTGTTGTGTGATTTATTTTGTACTGCTCAGGGAAGAAAAAATACAGAATAAAGATAAAAAACTTCACAGTCTCTTATACTTTCCTGTCCACAGAACATTTCAGCTGATCTACCTAGCTCACAGATTTTTGCAGAACTGGTGCAATTCTGCAAATCTTTCTCCCTAAGAAACAGAGGATACTGGTCTAGCTGATGCACTACTAATTAACAAAACCACCAGTTTCCCTGTAAGGGTTAACAGCAGTAGATCACATTACACTCTGTGTTATGTATGAGCATCTATAACATGTCTCTTTTTGTTTTCAAAGCAGAGCAAATTAATGTCAACTTAACATTACAGAAAAACAACATCTGTCCTTTAAGGCAGATCTTGCACTCTAATCTTTGAAGACCATAAGGACGATAGAACAAAAAAAGACAATACATTGGACTGCAACATCACATCTACAAACAAAGAAGTTTTGAAGGTATAAATTTAAGACTTCTTATTAAAGCATCAGTGACTCAATCATCAACCAGTATTTCATTACAAGATGAAGAGTAGTACAAACTTTTCAGTCAGACAGCATTAGACAGTATGCTATGAGTTATGCAACCCAGGATAAGATTATATCTTTTTAGGAGGATATGGGTTATATTATCAGAATTAATTAGTTTTACTGGTATTTTTTCCTAACATAGTGGGAAAACCAAATTATGTATATATACATTTCATATATGTATTTTTTTTTCCTATGTGATGTTAGGAATATAAAATCTGATTATGGAACTTAAAAGTCAAAACTGCAACTATGCCATGAATCTTCAGATTACATGATTTGCATCAGTAAGGCATTTGGACAGAACTCAAAGCCTACCCACTAAATATGTTGAAATCAAATATTACAATCCTTCTACTTTATACTGAAGTATAAAGATTTACGAATGCAGAATTAAAGGACTGAATGGAAATCGGAATCAAGATATAAACAATTAATACATATTGAGCTCAAAAAGTGTAAGAATCAATTAGAACCTAATTCCAGTATTTAATGGATGCTACATTTTTATTTCTCTGGAATGTTAATGCATATTCAAAGGATAGGAGGAAAAAAAAATAAAAAAGCAGTACTTTTCTAACCCTTGGGTATGAATGTGGTCACCTAAGTCCAACTTGCAGTATTGCATTTTGGTGCATGGTTGAAAACATTATCTTTTTCTCAGCTTTTTCCCATGAGGAAAGCTATTTTCTAGTGTTTGTGCTCATCTGATCCTAAATATCCTCTGTGATGAGACAGCCACCTCTTACTCTGGAAGAGGAATTTGAAGTGCAATGGATCAGACAAAAAGGAAGTTTAGATTAAATTTTGCAGTCTAAACTGCTTTTTATTTTCCTTAATATCTTCACATAATCCTTGGGGTGATAAGGACTACACCAACAGAAACATTCAGAAGAATGCAGAAGGCAGTGAGCAGAGCATCTGGAGCTAAAGAACAGGCAGTTTTGGTATTAGTCAACTATTTCCTCTTCTTTCAACACCTTCTCTGCTTATGTATCAGGATAAACAGCCCTTGTGTCTGTGCCTTCTTGATTATGCCTTCAAGCTACCACCATTTATGTTTCTCCTGATCATTGCTGTTTATTCTACTGTGTGTGTCCATAATTTTGTACCAGACAGCTGAACAACAGCATCTGTCTTCTCTACCACACTTGACTGACTGTACAGTGAGCCACCTAACTGATGAGGAATCAGGGGAAACAAAAGCAGGTATAAAAAGTATTTCCATGAATAAAATGCATAATACATAGATTGCTCAAAAAATCTGCAGAGAGATCTTTAAAGAGGTTTTCTGAACATACAAGTTACTTATTTCATTATGGGAGATGTTTACGTGCTACTCATTTTCCACACAATCCCCCAAAATACAATAGTTTAATAATACTAGGGAAAAAAATATTGGCAAGAATGAATGAAAAGGGTAAAGTGTTAAGAAAATTGTGATGATACTTAGTTTTGCACTTTCTTACCTACTTTCTCATTACAAATCCTCCTTCTTTCCCTCCTTGTGACACAGCCCATCATTTAGTAGGTAACAAAGAACCACAACTTAATGGCACAATCACAAAGTGCAGCGTGCAAAAGATAAAATAGTTAATGATAACAGTTAATAATTAATCTCTTCATCAAGTGACCAGGAGAAACTCCTTATTCAAGCTAAGCCCTACAGTTCTGCAGTGCCAGAATGACATCTTAGAAATGCAGCTGTGAATATCGAGACATGAAATCTTCCTTGCACCAAAAATCACTTTAAAATAGTTGTGCTGCAGACAGAGAATATTACTTAAGAATAGACAGACCACTGAAATTAAAGTAAAAGACAATTCTATTAAAAAATGGAATAACTTACTTTTTTTTCTTGTCCATCCATTCCTCTAATTGAAAATAGAGAAGTGGTATAGAGAGATCCAAAACACTGGCTCGGTATTTATTGTTGGCTATCTTTTTACAGTAGTACCTTACAACTGCTGGTAGAGATGGTCCATGACTTGTAGACTGTAATTACAGATATGTTTCACTTTCACTACTGTAAGAAACAAGTGAAGGGTGACTAAAGAAGCAGGTGAGGAAGTAGAACTGAGAGGTGTGCAGCATATAAGAATATCTTAAAAGATAACAAGAACAAATTCCTTTCCTGTAAACTTGTATGGACAGATACGTAAAAACAATTACTCCATAGTGCTGATAAGGGATGATCCTTTCCGAAGGTGATTGGATAAATCTATTTTGGGATAAACATATTTCATCCAAAATTAAAGTAGTACATCAGGAACTATGTGAAATACTATCTGCACATAATCAGAATCTTGGGGGAAAGACAAGGTTCTATATCTCAGCAGAGGAAAAGTGGAACAGTGAAACTTGACAAGGTGAGAAACTCTGTATCCAACATTCAATTTTTTGATTAAAAGTACGTTGTGGGAGGAAACATGCATACTTGTTTTCTACAGCCCAGCAGTAGATATCAAGAAATGCTGTCTTATCTCATCATTAACTATATCAGCATCAAAAACACCCTCTCCTTCAGTATAAAAAGTGAAGGAATATTTTTAAAGGTTGATGGTTAACAAATAATATGACCTAATTTCTATTACCATATTTTAGGATTCTGGAAAACTAATAAAACAGGTTATTTAATGGATGACTCCTTCCTACTTGACACACTTATTTGAATTAGGTACAAGTTTTCTTATGGCATACTTCTTAGATAGGAAGCTTAGATATCACCAGAAAAATTATGTCTGAACCGAAGTTATGCAGCCTCCATTAGCACTGAACCTGCAATGTGCATTGGCTCTTTTAACTCAGTATAAACTCTGAGATAGAAGGCAAAAGTGAATATTACGACATTCTAGTATGTAATTTCTCAGGAACTGGCATTTTATTTAGCAATACTAGATGGCAAACATGAAATTCAGTAATTATACTACAGAAAACATGATTTTTTTTTACTTTTTTTTTTTCCTCAGTAATTGAAGCTTAAAACAGAGTGGGAGAAGTGCAATGAACAGTCTGTTAGCTACAGCCTGTTTCTCTACCTGAAAAACTGCAAGCCCCAGAATTAACAGTACAATATGCAAGTAAACCAAGACTCTCTGAAGGCAGAGGGATCAAATGTCACACCGCCATTCTCTTCTAGAAACTAACAGAGACCCTTCTTGAGATCAAGTGATGGAAATAGGTCCCAGCAGAGCACTCGCTATCACTGAATTCTCCCTAACTTTGAAGGTGCAGAACAGCCATGACAGACACACTAGCTGAGGATGGGGCTTTTTTCATAGCAAAATAGCAGTAATCAAGAATTCTTAAATTACTAGAATATAAGGGATACATGGATTAACCAATCAAGACTTTACCTTAACCTTTACTCTCTTTAATGCCCTGTGTTCAAGCCACCTTCTCACATATTTTTGAATGCAACTGACTGCTTTATGTACTTCTCTACTGCTAGGATGCTTTCTACTATCACAAGAAGGTTCAAAGACTTCCAGGTGAGTTAAATTTTTCTTCTGCATTTGAAGGTCAAGGCGTTTGTCACTATAAATTAAAGTACAGAAGATCTGTTTGTCAGTTTGGTGGACAAATGCTTGAACTATGAATCAAAATTCTAGAAGACAAATTGTAATGTGCACCTAAAATAATTATAGAATCATGTAGAATCCTTTTATTTAGATGAATAGCTTGAAAAGATGGACAAGGAACTGTTGGTCATTTACCATCTACAATTACAGAATTAGCATCCAAATCTGCTTGCCAACTGGTCTGCTGCAGCTGTGTAGATCTGCACATTGCCCATGGCTTTGTAAACTATAAGGCTTTAGTTATTATTTTCAACATTGTTAACATTTTGAATTCCTACTCAACTGTACATTTTTTTTTATAAAATGGAGAACACAAAAAGTCATATTTTGTGTGAAAATACACTATTTAAAAAAATAATAATTTGAGTAGGACTAAGAAAATTACTTACCTACCAGTTCTTACAATTGAACTGATAATACAAACTATAGCAGATAGACATACTGAAACTTTTAAGTGTCTCTTCCATCTGAATGCTAAATACCATGGATTTTATTAATGTGTAGTCATTAAAGTTGCCAGGAAATTTCCCCACCAAAAAAAAAAAGATTTTACAAGAACATAACCAATCCTTTTCATAAGAACACACCAGGAAATGCTGTACTGGAGATTTTGCTGTCAAAATAAGACAGTAGAAACACCAGAAAAGCCAAGATATTCAATAATCTGAATTGTACGTGTATTTCCTACAGTAAAATTACAGTAAAAGTAACTTTTAAACCCTAAAAGCTCTCAAATTTGTCTTGATACAGAATGAGTAGAAAGGAACTCTCCAAAGTTTCATCTCTACAGTCCTCCTGTATGATTACTTGACTACGTCCCAATTGAGGAAATGATCAAAATGTGTAAGATGAATAATCAAAAATCTAGATTTTGCATTTCTAGCAGTGTAATTGGCAGAAATGAAAACTGAAATGTAGCTGAGGATTTTTCTTTGACCACATTTAAAGCTTTCTTTTTTCCTGAATTGTGAATAGAAATAGTCGATTTATAGTTAAGGTCATAAGTAGCTGTGTGCTGTAGAGTCAGTTGTATTTTATTTACCACATTCAGATTGTTCCAAGACAAAACCAGTTTGATTGAAATATCACTGAGAGGAAAATGGCTTTTAATGCCTGGTCTTAATTAAGGTGATAGTCAGATAAAATGCTTGAGAAATTGAGATCTGAATATATCTCAAAATTTTGTATTTTGATGGTTTTTTTCTGTTTGGTTGGTTTTGGTTCTGAGGTTATAATATATTGGGGTTTTTTAAATCAATATAACTTAGACAATGAATTTCAAACTGGTTATTTTCTGGTATTCTGTAGCACTTTCTGCCTCTAGCCAAGAGCTTGCAAGATTTTTCATCAGACCATCTTCTTATAATTAAAAAATATCATTTGCACTTATTCATCATTCCACTCTATACCACAAAGACAAATCTGTTCCATCAATCTTGATCTCCCTACTGGCTAAAAAAATCTTCCAGGTATTTCATATAACCTCATGGTATGGGACCACAATTTCACCACTCGGTTATAATCTGATACATCCTTTAACCTTTCCCACTGAACAAAGAATTGAACCTTCTTCCAGCTTAATTCAGCTCCATACCAGCAGAGGCTGTGCATTTATTATTTTCCCCAGAGGTCCTATCAGAGAACAGCAGCATTTTAATTTGCTTGAAGGATTTAAAAAAAAAAAAAAATGCAGTTTCATAGATTGTACAGGGAACAAACTGAGCAGACTCAAGACCACAACTTTTTTAGACAGCTCTAGCCAGTCTGCAGAATGCCTATCTACTCTGAGACATGGAAATGTGTCAAGCCTGAGGATATTCAAGGACTACACCTCTGGACTGATCAAGGCCACCATCTTTGAAGACCAAGGAACAACATTATGTCGTATGGACAGGAAGGGAACTACCTGTCTTGTTGGATACATGGGTATATAGAAAATACAGATTATTTCTATAGATTTTTTTTTCCAGATTTTGAGAAAAAGTTTATCAGAGGCAATTATCTATGTTGGGAGGTCAGGTCCCATTATGCTATCTTACAGAAAGAAAAGTTTGAAATGTTTTCTTAATATTGCTTTCAGATTTATTTCAGATTCTAGATATAGTTTGACTTTTCAAGCAAGATCTTCAAATCACTATGTAAGTTGAGGCAGACTTAGGTTATTTGGGGAAGGCAGGGAACTCGGATGCAAGGAGAGAAAGTCTTCCTAAAATCAATATTTTTTTTTTTTTTTTTTTAATTAAAATGTATTTCAGAACAATTCTGATTCTGGAACCAATACTTTTTTTTAGATCCACGATAATAAAAATTATATGAAATATATGAACAAGTGGCTGTTTGAAAGATCGAGTGTACAATCAAATCCTCACTTAGGTACAGCAGCTGTCTGCACTACAGATGTCTTTGTAAAATCAAATTCATGCTGCAGATCTGATGGCAACGCATTGAATGACTCTTCCTACTGAATTATACATGGGGCATTTATTTTATAATCTCACAATTTAATTTCATGCAATTTACATATTCTAATTAATAGTGCTGTGTAAAGAAATATTTAATATGCTCTGGCACTGCTGTATAAATAATGCCTTATATCAGTATTTTGTGCTGTTCGTAGAGATTAATTTATTTTAAGGCTGTGTTCAAGTTACACTGTTCTTTCTCTTACATGCCACAAAAAATACATAATAAACTACCTCTTGCTTAATGTGATTTTTCTCAGTTACACTACAACTAATTGTAACTTTTATAGGAAAATTTGTTGTTTTAATAGAAGAAAATATCTAAACAGGAAAAAAAAAAAGTGGATTTGATTTAATAAGTGTTTAGAACATACGAAGGCAGAACAGACACCAAGCATGATGTTTGAAAAGGAATTTCTAATAAACAGTTTATCTGCATTAATATATATTCTATCACTTACAAATTTCAGTTCAGATAATGCTACTAATTAGTTTTGGCTGATACTGGAGTATTTTGTATGCCCCGTTTATAAAAGCTGTTTGCCCATCTGTTAATAGGTTGGAAGTGATTAAAGGACACTTATTTTGGCTGTTGAAAAGGCCAAATCATTTTAAAGCTGCAAATATGTGACAAAATCAGCTAAAGGTTTGCCAAGTTCAGGACCTGATTTTCTTAAAGAGTTTTCATGTCTGCTTCCTTTCCCTCCTGCCTAAAGTATCCATGACTTTTCAGTATAAAAGCAAAAATTCAGCTGACTATGATGGGCCACACCTATTATCAATTTGTTTTAAAATAGATTTTCATAAACTTTGAATGTTTTTCACATCTCTAACTAAAAAGCATTTTTGCTGTTTATATATTAAATTTGAAGCACTGTTTCTGAGATCTTAAATAAAATGTGGCTTACAATAATACTCAGTATCACTGTATTTTGATACTTGTGCCTTCTCTTCCTGTCTATTGTTTCATCAGGGTGCATGAAAGAACAGGAAAATGAGAAGTAAGCCAATATGGGAAATATCAGATGAAAAAGACAACAAAAAAGAAGGTAAAGAATTTGGATGAAAAAGACAGTTGTGGACAATGAGCTGGGAATCAACAGCAAACCAAAAACACTAATGGCAAGAGATTTATGTGTGCTATTATTGCGAGATAATTACAGACTTCAGTTCCATCTGGGGAAGACTATTTCAGTCATATGTTTAACTTAAATGAAGACAAGAATTAGCCTTTTACAGAGAGCTGGAATAACTTCTGTATACCATTTACACCCTATGTCCTACCTGAAGGCAAATCTCATGTAATTAAAATCACCCTGCTTTTTCTCCATGTACTTAACTTGATGCTTTACAGTATGAAGACAGAACCCAAGATGACCCTTATTCCAGATGCAAAGTAGCAAGTGAGTTATGAAAAGAGTATTTAAACAGATATTCTAACTCTGATTTGTCTGCAAACCCCTGAATATTTTTTTTCCTTGACTGGATTTAAACTATAATACCAAAGGGAAAAGACCAATAACTAACCCTAGACTTACTTGCTTCATCTGCAAATTTAATTTTACAAATGAGCAACATAAAGTGCTACCTACATACATTAAAGACATACCACCTGCTTTGTACTGCTTTAATGGAAAATCTGTCAAGCACCTTCTTTAATGATTATACGTCTTAAAAATTCAACAAATGAAAGGATTATCACTGAAATCATATTAATCTGCAAAGGATTAACAGCCTACTGTTGAAAGACTTCATGAACTGCAATAGGAGAGGATCTGAAATAAAAAATGCAAAGAGCTTTTCACATAAATAGTCCAGAAAGATTGTAGATGTTGAAGCAGCAAAAGTGAAAAAGGACTGAAACAAAGAATGGTTATGTGAATCGAGCACTTCAGCATTGAAAATAAAACAAAATCATAGAAAATGTGCTATAAGCTGTAACATCTTTACCACCTGTATACAGTTTACTTATTTCTTTCTAAGTTTCCATAACCATCTGCACTCTCATTATCATTTCAATTTTAAACGGATTCAGATAATATATCTGAAATGTCTTGTTTAAAGAATGAAACAGAATTTTATTGAATATTCTGAACTTAATGAAACATTGAGAATGAAGTCTGGATTTCCTATAGATACAGTCTTCTTTCAGGGATAGAAAGACACCGCACACTTTATAAAATACTTTAGCTTCCACAATACACAGTTTAGCTTTTAGACTTTCAAGAGACAAATAGATTGTTTTATTTCTCTGTTACATTTTCCCTGCTTGTAGGATATTATTGAAACCATGGCCAGGTATTTCTTGTTATTTCCTGGCCAACAGAGTTCATTTCAACAAATCTCAATCAGTAGTTATCCATATTCATGAAGACACTTAAGGATGTGTTTGATTTCAGCTTTAGTAGGATTTAAGGATATGCTTAAAGTTAGGCACATACTTAAAACGCTACACTGAATTTAGATGGAGGCAATTGCATGCTTACCTGAGCTA